TGCTTACATCTGCTCTGACTGCTCGAGGGTTGAGACTCAACCCAATCCATCTCATTCTGAATCCTTGAAGACTTTGGTCTTCCTTTTGCGCGTACCAACCTTACAGATGAGTGATCTTTGATCGCCCTTATGATGCTTCAATGACGATCAAATATTAGGCAAATACCGTGCCTATGTGTGACATGAAAACGTAAAAGGCTCAGAAACCAAGACCAATCTTCCGACTTCTCACCTGGAGGAACAACAGCGAAGGCAATAGGAAGCATATGTCCATCTCCATCCGGTGATGTTGCAATCAAGAGTGTTCCTCTATACTTCCCATACAGATGAGTGCCGTCAATTTGAATTATAGGCTTGCAGTATTTGAATGCTTCAATGCACTGGTGAAATGTCCAAAAAGCCCTATGAAATATAGCTCTGTCTGTATAAACCCGACGTTCGTCACATCATGGATTTGTATCAAGCTTGAACACAGAACCCACATTCACCTGCGTCATATACGTCAGCCAATTGGGCAAGAATCCATAGGATTTCTCCCAGTCACCATACAACTTAACAATGACTTTCATTTTTGCCTTCCAAGCCTTCCTGTACGTGATGTTGTATCCATATATTCCTTGTATCCTCTCTTGTATCAGAACTGGTTTTGTAGCTGGATCTTCCTTTAACATGTTTGTAAAAAAAAACACAACTTTACCATATTCTCAATTAGAAGATTCGTTAAGTACATGGTAGAATACATACTCATAATAGCCGCACAGATTACATCTGAGTCCAACTGCCTATGATCCTGTGAAAGGCCTTGATTCAGGCATGTGTGATCTTCACCCCATTTACGGACCACCCAATTAGCTCCCTTCTTGGGCTTGATTGCCCTCATAAACCATGGACATCCGTCAGTATGGTTTCTACATTTCATAACAAATCTGGACTCGTCACTTTTTTCGACTATGGCTGTCCTGCGCCCCTTTATACAATGTATCTTCACAACATATTGCATTTCTGGTTTGGAGCCAAATTCTTGTTGCACAAATAATGGATCTCCTAACTTCCAACCTCCGTGCAAGTCATCATCCCCATACAGGATCTCCAACTCGTCATCAGGGTGCGCTCAATTAATGAATGAATAATGTTGGCTTTCATTCCAAAATGGCTCTCCCGCAGTCCCTGCATCTAAAGCTTCATTGATTATTGTCTGAATCAATATCATTGAATATATATAATTTATTAAAGCAAATGTGAAAATTTAATAACTTACCGCTACTAACAGGGTCAACATGAAGTGGTGAACTGACAGGATCAACATGAAGTGGTGACATGACTGGGGTACCCAACCTTATAGCGCTCGTGTCAGTGTCAAAATTTTCATCCACGTAAGTGTCAGACGAATCACCCTGTGGAATAGCACTTTCAGATTCTCCCTCATCTTCGCTGTCCACACACTCCTCATCTTCATCGTCTTCATCCTCATCCATTGTTACCTGAGCAGGTGCAGATGATCGTACAATTGTATCTTCTTGACCAATACAGTGCGCAGTGGTTGTATGCACCGGTAACGATGAAGACTAACCAGCATCAACTTCAACATATATCTCAATCATTTTTAATACTTTCCATCCAACATACGCATCTGTGACGAACTCCACATCTTCATCATCATTGATATCGTTACTAATGTAGTATATTGTATCCATATCCACAACAGTCTCTAACCTGGCTATTATGCGGTGGATGGAATGGATGCCTTCTGACCCCATTTTTTGGAGAATTCTCTCCTTCAGTTCATTGCATGTAGTGCCCACTTTGATTTTCATCGTTTTTGTTTTTCCTTCAAATCGGACACCGTTCGGACCTTCAAAATGCCTCCCATTGTAGTAAATAACTATAGGTACCATGATAGGACTTGAACTCATCTTTCACACGAAAATTTGGGTTTAGGTTTTGGGTTTGGATCTTGGTTCGGATTTTTTAACACAAAATGGAAATGTGGAGGTGTAATGCCAATGTCCTACCAAGATTAAGCTTTTTGAGATAATGAGATGAAATATATGTGTGATGTTTTGGAATAGAGACGTGAAGGGAAACTGATTTGGGGAAAAAAAACTTTACCTCGCAACAATGGCCGAAACCTTTGGTATTTGGTACCCTATTCGCGAAATCTACCCGGGTACCCCTTTATCTACCCGGGTAAATAATTCAAAAAATTTCCAGGTTGAAGAACAATACCCGGGTACCCCTATACATACCCGGGTATGGTTGATTTTTAAAAAAAATACCCGGGTATGGACTGGGGTACCCGGGTATGTTTCGTGGTCAACGGTCAAACAGGGGCAGATTGGTGTTATGTTTGTTTGGAGGGTTAATTTTTTGTAATAGTTTCTAATCGAGGACAATTTGGTAAATAATTATTAATAAAGGGCTACAGTGGTCAAAAAGTCAAAAAATGTGTGTTGAAATTAAAAGTATGCAATATGAAACCCAACAATGTCATGTATGCACTAATATAAATCGAAATTAAAAATAAACAAAAGAAAGCATTAATGAAAATATATTAGGAATTAAAATATGAGTCCCTTGTAATCACTGTTTCATTAACACATATTGCCGTGTTCATGTTCATAGGTTTTAGATATTTCAAAATAGAACAAATAATCTTTGTGTCGTAGCAACATTTTCATTTTACAGTCCCTTCAAACACAACACACAAGATATGACAAAATTACGCTGGATTTGGGTTCAATAATTAAAAAAAATAGTTTATTCTCAATTTCTCAAAGCATATATATCACTATATATGTGCCACTTAAGGAATGTTTGTGATTAAATTTCACAAGGTACCTTGATTCTTTTGCATCTTTTCTTTGTCTAGGATGAAATGGAATTGCAAAAGTGTGTAGAATTATTGTGGTTTGGGAAGATAAAGCATACCTCTTGTACCATAAGCACGCGAAATACCCTTATTTAGGGTTGATTCTTCCCACTTTAAATGACTACATATGATTTTCTCGTAGGTAACGACTACGTGATGGAAATATTTTCTAAGCTACGACTCAAGAGGGTAGAACGAAGTGTGTGGACACTATTTCTTATTTTGGATACACAACAACTCAAGTAAGCTAAAGTGCGTATATATAGGAATCAAACATATTCCTAGGTCTCATTGGACCATTCTCTTATACTAAAGCCCAAAAATCTTTAAAGTAACAATAATATAATTTACTAGGCATTGTCAACTGAAATTTTCTCACCCCTTTATGAGGCTATATTTGGAATCTATCATATTTAATGATTAAGGCTCCTTTGATAAACAGATGATCATCTAATTCGATGTTGCTCTACTAAAAATTTAAAGTTGAACTCTAAGATTAATACTACCAATAACATGAATATGTATTTTTCCTTTGTAAAATATCCATAATTGATTGATAAGTTTCTATTAGTCAATTATTTATTCTCTTGCCTTTAATAATTTCTCTAATTGGTCATATACATTAGTTAGTATCTTAAATATTCAAATATCGAAACACATCAAGAGAATATTTTATCCAAATTTAATGTTATTCATTTCATAAATATCAATAATCAAATAATTTTACTCATAAAATATTGAGTTATTGATCATCAAAGAATCCGATCTCACCCGCTGTGGATAAGATCTGCCACCAATGTAATTGTGTGATTTTCAAAGGTTTAACGCATTCTATTCAACCTCTTGCTCCCAATGTCATTAGCCTGGCAAATTACTTAATTAATAAGGCGCATTAGGTTATGTAGAGGTCCTTGGCTAGTTAATATCTAGGTGCAATGTTGCGTACATTGCTGAACATCAACACAAGGCAGGGTGTGGTGGTTTGCTTAAAAATGAGGGTGGTAGCTTCCTTTCCATCTTATAGCCAACTTAGGAGCGTGCACTATTATCATGGTCGACCTTTGGGGCGTGTTGTAGAAGTATTTTTTGAGAAATAGAGAGGAGGTCGTAGCAGAAGAGAAAAAGGGAAGAGAATTAGAAAAGGAGGGAAACTGTGTGAAACTTTTCGATTTCTTCTGAAGTGAATATATAGCCAGCATCAGTTGCTTAATTACAACAGAAAACTGACAATATTGGACTGAAAATAACAAAATAAGATGAACACTGATAGTAGAAATTAGAAGGGAACATATCATAGACGTGGGCTAGCCATCTCGTCCATAGTCCATAGATATAGTCTCGAAAATACGTAGGCCCTTTCCTCAGTCTCTTGGGCTCATTCCCTTAACTGGTCCATTGGGGTGCTTGGTCTCGGAGCAACTGGGCTAGGTCGCCACGTGTTCTTAGGATTTTATTTTTTTACAGACTTTACCTTTTATTTATTTATTTTTATCTGGGTTGGCGAAGATTGATAATGTTCTTTTGACCATTTTGTAATTGGTAAGTTGGACATTTGTCCCTGTTGTGCATAAAAAAAGTTCGGTTAAAATATTATATATAAAATTGTTGGGAGGAATAAGATAAATAGTTTATCCTTTATCAGTTAATGATAGGATAATGAGCTTATCCTGATCTCTGTATCTTGCTACCTACTGTTGAGAGATTTGGTCCATATGATGGATCCATAACACAGATATGAAATTAAGTTTGGATTAAATTAAAAATAAATAATACTTACAAGGACAAAAAACAGTTTAATTTATTTTGGCTGCAAGCAGTTTAATTTCAATTGTATACTCTTTTCCGAATGATATATGAGCATGTATTATAATACCTTCATTAAATTAATTTCCTGGGAACATTTTTTATTTTATTTTATAAATGATTGAATTTAAGTGACAATAAAACTAAATTATGTTAAAATAAGTATGAACTTTAGAATCTTTTGGATTTCTCTGGGTTCACGAATCGATACAGCTGGCATGCGCGATGTAGTGTCGAGGCTTGATTGGGTCCAAAAAACCTACAATACTATGAAGCGAAAGAACTTGAAAGAAGAGTTGTTCACCGAACCGATAAGTTCGGCCCATTTGGTTTCATCAAAAAATCACAAACACTCAACAGTCTTCTCTTTATAAACTCCCACAATAAAGTACACCCACACAGCACGCCGTATCCCTCACAGCACTCTCACTCGCGCACACACTCTCTCTCTCTCTATATCCGCCACCGCTTAACGGCGCTGTCCGTACAGCACCGATTTAATTATTATTTTTTATTTTTTAAGAAAAGGAAGTAGGAGGTGCTTGCTAATGGCGGCCACCGCAGCTCACGACTTCGCTGACGGCCCTGTGATGAACCTAATCAACAAGCGCCTCCGTGGTCTCCGCAAGAAACTGAACCGAATCTCGGCCATGGAAGAGTCACTCTCTCAAGGAAAGCCACTCAACAAGGAACAAGAGGAAGTTCTCCGCTCCAAACCCTCCGTCGTCGCCCAAATCGACGAGCTCGAGAAGCTTCGCCAGCCTCTCTCCTCCGCCTTAGCCGAAGAGCTCGACCTCGCTCTCCAAAACCGACACCAAACCCTAACCGTAGAAGACTCCGTTCCGCGGCAACGACAACAACCGAATTCAAACGACGTCGTCGTCGAGGAGCTTCTCAATTTGCTCTACTTCGGTTCACTCTTCGATGTGAGGTCACAGAACGACTTCACCTCCACGATGCTCACCAGGACGCACGAGCGCGGCTGTTGCTTGACCTATGACTACGTCACCGACGACGCCACCGATCTACTCGGAGAGAAGGACTTGGATTCGATCTCTGCCTTGGGCGGATTGTTGATCTCGCGGCCTGCGGATTCGAGCTTGTCGCACAAGAACGCGCTGCGGCGATGCATTGGGCACGCCAAACTGTGGCTTGCCAATGCTGAACAACCGATTGAGTCCAATGCTGATGTTACATGTATAGTTTTTGTTTTGGAAATTTGCTTGCTTCTGTTGAATTCCTAGTGCTTCTGTTAACTGCTATTGAGATTGTTTGTTTGTATGTTTGTAGATGCTGGTTTGAGGGAGAGGTTGAACAAGATTATGTCTTCAGAGTACTTCACCACCACTCCTGAGATGAAAGCTCCGGTTGAAGTTGCTGCTGCCGCGGCTGCTGGAAATTATACGTCTTTCCAGGTTCCAGTGCATGGCTCTTCGGTTCCTGTAGAAGGGGAAGGTTCCGTTTCTCTGTCTCAGGAGAAGGTATAATGCCTGCTGGAATTCTAGTTTTTAACTTTTATCATTTGGATGTGAGTTTCCGTCTTAGATGCTGCCTGGCTTCAGTAGTATTTGAATTTAGCTGAATTGAATGCATTGTGTGGATACAATATTTCAGTTATGTTATGTTAATTGTAAGCTGTTCCGTAGCAATTTTTTTGGACTACTTTATTTGGTTGTGGATAAGTTGTAGTTTGAGAATGATAGCACTTTAATTAAAAAGGTAATTCGTGCCTATGATTATACAAGTATGAGGAGAGGGATGGGAGAAGAATATTTGCTGTTTTGTTTCTTTCTCTAATGTTATTGCGTTATGCATCATACTTGAAGTGTGACCATTGATGTATAGATAAATAAGTAGAGTTAACCGTGTTAAACATCCTTTGTTCTGTGACCTGGAAGAATGTAGTATTGATGAACTTTTGTATAAGAACAATACTGTTGAGTTTTATATGTGCTTGTGATAGAATAGAAGTTGCTGAGTAACTAATTAGCTTCAGCTTTCAGGTAAATCAGAAAATGCTGCAGGAGGGGATCTAATAGATACTGTTCTCTGCTTAAACTATAAGGGGTACTGAGACCTATGAATTATTTGTTTTCTGTCATGAATCATGAGTTACTAGGAACACAGAATTATGCAATTAGATATTTTTCTAAACTAGAGGTAAACCCTAGCACTGGAAATGTCAGGAGACACTTTGTAGTAACTAAGTACATGTCTTCAAGTATATTAATATTATCACTAGATCAAGTAGTATGCATTTTCTTCTAAACAGTGAATCTGAAATGTGTGCAAACGTGACAAAACTTTATTAGAAACATTCCCCTTGTTGAAGAATGCGTCTTAACAACTCCTGTGACTATGTCTTCTAATATATCTGTCGTAGTTGAACATTGTATACTCTGGGGTACCTAGCTTTTTTTCTTTTCAATGCAAGTTGAATTTATGTGTATTGATTTTAGTGTCTTTGGTTCTAAGTTCCAGATGTCAACCATTGTTACATATTCTGGTTCTAGGTGGTGATTTAGTGTTTAGATGGTTAATTTTCCTACTTCTGAGGAGTTTACCCGAGGTCATAGCACTGGCATGTATCTATCTTTGTAAGTCTATGTAGCTAAGAGTCTGCCTATATAGATGGTTGAGAGTGACATAGGGGTGTGATCCGTGTCCAAATAAATATCAATCAGTATTCACGATCATCACATATACATACTGTTCAACATTTATTTGCTTGCTGATCGCTGATATTGTAGTGATTTGCAAATTTTGATATACAATTATCATTTTCACACACACACACACACACCGGCAAGGTTATACTTACCACTATTTTAGGTTATACTTATCACATATCTGTCTTTGTAAGTCTATGTGGCTAAGAGTCTGCCTATATAGATGGTTGAGAGTGACATAGGGGTGTGATCTGTGTCCAAATATCAATCAGTATTCACGATCATCACATATACATGCTGTTCAACATTTATTTGCATGCTGATCGCTGATATTGCAAATTTTGGTATACAATTATCATTTTCACACACACACACACGGGCAAGGTTATACTTACCACTATTTTAGGGTTACCACCCTTACTACCTGATTAGTTATTGTTGAATCAACTCGAAATTAACGGTTGAAAAAGAAAAGAAAAAAATTGGTGCCATTGATTTTGAATTGATCCAACAATAACTAATCAGGTAGTAAGGGTGGTAAGCCTAAAATGGTGGTAAGTGTATTCGCTCCCTATGTTTGTGTGCATGCGGGCGGGCGTTGGCGTGCATGTCCCTATACATGCATGTATGTATAGGGACATGATCCTTTGATACTGGTGACAAACTAAAACGTTTGATACCAAATCTTAATCGTTGATTTCCGTCAATCTAACGGTTATAATTTATTGGGAATTAATAATTAATTAACAAATGTGACCCAATACATTATAACCGTTAGATTCACCAAATCAACGGTTAAGATTTGGTATCAAAGGGATTTTACTCCACACACACACATGCATGCATGTATAGGGACATGATCTTTTGACACCGGTGTCAAACTAAAAAGTTTGATACCAAATCTTAACTGTTGATTTCCGCCAATTTAATTGTAATAATTTATTGGGAATTAATAATTAATTAATAAATGTGACCTAATACATTATAACCGTTAGATTCACGATATCAACGGTTACGATTTGGTATAAAGGGATTCTACTCCACACACACCCACCCACCACACACACCCACCCACCACACACACACACACACACACACATATATATATTTATATATATATATAGTTGGAGTAGCACCTATCGAAGCAAAGACTACAAAAACCTGCCTAAGGTGTTTTGGCCTTGAGAGAATAAAACTAATAGAGGCTTTATAGTGATAGTGGGAAAAGTGAATCAAATGGAAGATAGTTCGACTTCAATGGGTAAAGGAAGACTGAAGATAACATTAGGATAACAGCATCACCTTATTCTAGATATTTTTATTGAAAATTTTGTTTTAAATAGAGTCCAATGACATTGATTAGTCTATGTAGTTGTCTCCCCTAGTGGGATACAGCTTAGCTGTTGTGTTATATCATTGTATATTCCTTCTAAATTTTTCATTATACAACCTCGTAAAAGTAGATGTGTTTGCTGGGACAACTGATGTTCTTGCTTTTGTTTCAACCTTTTTTTAAACGCACATATGGATATATCAGTAATTATTCTAATTGATATAATTTATCAATAAATATTTCTAGAATTAACAAGAATTTTTCTTAGATGTTTGTTTGAAGTTTGTTGATATAGTTTACTACAATAGTATGATGTTAAAAACATGTAGACTAATAAATAATTTTTTATTGGTTTGCTCCTAGAGGAGTAGTAACAAGAAATGAGGCTGAGCTTATCATATTTTAATCATTTTTAAATTAAATGTAATATTACTTTGGTAATTCTCCTGTTAATCCGTGGTTGTACTTTGTACTGTATAATTTTCCTCTGTTAATCCGTGGTTGTACCTTAGCATAGGATGGCTTTTTTTAAAAGTCACAATCATTGCTATAAACTGGAAATGTGGTACTGTTGGCTACCTCAAGATTTATTGTTTAAAGGAGATTGTCAACTGGTAGGTCGTGCTATCAGTTGGGGATCAATTCCAAAGTTATGAAAGGTCGTAAGAATCCCAAGCAAGGTGAGAATGACAATATTGGCACATTAGCTGGGTCAATTTTTGTTTAGATCTTATTTTTTCATTTCTTCTTGCGTGTTAATCATATTTTGATCTAACGTAGGTATAAAGTTCAAAGTTCATGCAAATACAAATACTCAATATGAATCAATAATATGATTCAATCGCCCTGCACAAATTATACCCCATTATTCAAATAAAAGTTTTGTTGATAAATTTTTCTAACATAAGCCAACTATAAGATGAGAATACCCCAGGCTGAGAAGTCAGGTGATGAAAATGAATGACAAAATGTTGCACTATGTAAAATTTAGTATATACTTGTCTTTTGCTAGTAGGGGCTCTACCCTTTTGCCTCCATCTAAAAATGTTTATTGTTTGGATAAGTCGAGTCTGATAACTTACTATAAACAGTAAATTTGCTTCTCTTTCTGTCCTAATTTTTCAAAGTTCCAAATCTGGTTAGTTTGTTTGGTATACATTTCTCTCTTTCTTTCCACTATTTCTTTTTGTTTGTGCGTCTAGCTTCATCTCCTGTAACTTGTGTACATGTTTTTGCTGTATGATGACTTCTTTTAACGCTGCCCTATGTAAATATCAATTTAAAGATTTTCTGTTCCCATTTTCCCAGGAGTTTGAAAATAGTTTTTTATTTGTTCTTTGATATGATTTCTCTGGGAGAACTGCCTCTTTGCATTTGGTAAAGAACATGCTAACTTAAAAGCCAAGTTTTTATATCTTCTTCGACTCAAGCCAAAATAAATTCTGATGCTTTATACTTTTAGCTTACAAGTTCCATATGCATTTTGTAGGATGAAGGAACCATAAATTTTCAAGGACATGGATCTGGAGATGATCAGTCTGATTTTGAAGGGGAGCTTCAGAAGGTATCTATAGTTTTGGCAAGATATCTTGCTGAAATTGAACTCGTGACTTGATCTGATGCCAAAGTTTTTTTTGTCTTTGCAGGATGAAGTAGAAGCAGAAAATGCAGTTGAGGTGGTCTCAGTTAAATACGAACAGACCAACCCGCTGGTGGATGTAGAGCACAATCAACGAGATGTAGAGGCAAAGGAGCAACAGTATTACCCCCGGAGGGGTTACCAAAGAGGCGGTCGTGGTGTAGGAGGCGGTCGGAGGGGTTATTCAAATGGTCGTGGAGGTCGTGGTGGTGGCAGAGGAGGCTACCAAAATGGCCGCAATCAATACTTTGACCAGCCTGGAAATTATTATCCAAGGAACTATTATAACAATAGAGGAAGAGGCGGCAGGGGTGGTGGCTACCCTTACAGCAATTATAGTTCAGGTGGTCAAGTTAATCATATCGCAGGTGATGTCGGGGTGCAATCATGATTAATTATGAGGTGTTCAGATTGTTTGTTTCTGTCATTAGTTGGTGGTGAACTTTTTTATTCGCCTGGCATGAAACATGTTTGGAACAATTTTATTTGACACTTCGAAAATCCAGACTCCACCATTTTGTAGCCCAGTAGCTAGTTGACGGAAATCCTACATGAAGAAAACTGTTTCCGGACATATGTTCTGGAATGTTGCTCTTAGACTTTCTGCGTTATCCTCCAAATGGTTTGCATCCGTGTCCCTCTCCATGTATAGCCAGGTAGGCATTGCCGTTGCAATTTGAGTACGGTGGGATGATAGACGTAAAACACATTAAGACTAGTGTACCTTGTCGTAGGAGTAATATAGGACTAGAGTTCCAAATATTGTTTCTTCATAGACTAATTAAACGTACTAGATTTGCAACACATGATCTGTTATTTAGACTATCGAGTTGGAGATAATTGTGCAATTGAAGTGAAAATAATTAAAAATAAAGATTTCTGAGCAACAAATATTAACATAAGCTAAAACCTATAATCACACTCATAAAATTCAAGAACGAAGAGTAAGGGAGAAATACCTTTCGCAAGTAGTAGGAATCTCCAAAGTAGTTAGTAACCTTGACTTGTAAATCATATGTGTTCTTCTTCATTGCATTTTCTACAATTATAGAGAAATTAGGGGAACTTTTGGGTGTATTTGATTAGTTTAGCCTACTTGCCGTACTTCTAGTTTTGACTATCCAATACAATTTGATTAAGTGGTTTTCATATAAATTGTTGGCCTAGATGATTGCTTTGATTAACCACTAGTTTAGATCCGATTTATATAACTCTAAATATGTGCCAAATAGTAGGCTATGGTCGTGTTTTCCAATATTAGGAAAATTCTATGATTATTTACTCCAAACGATCTTATAATTTGAAGATGATAAATTAAAGTCTTGAGCTTTTTATAAAAGTGGTAGATCTTTCTCTTAATTTTTCTACATCACTTAAATCACACCAGGAAGACATTTATAACTCAATTTATGATCAAAATACACAGACAAGTTAGAAATTCCAAACTTTACTAAGTTAAACAATAAATTCCGATATATCCCAATTAAACTCAATTTTCTCACTATTTGATGCATAGAAATTCGTCTCATTACGGGACCCACCATAATGCACAAATTGCCAAAGCAGTGCCTCATTAGAAAAATTACTACTGCATTCTATGGATAATGGATGGATATATATGATTCTACTCGAGCCAACACGAATCACCAGTGCATTGACATCTTTGTTTCCACTTGTCATGGATTCACTTAATGTGTGGAGATACAACCAAAGCATGATGGTCATTTTCGTTTAATGTGTGTGGCATTTGAAAAGGAAATTTTCAGCCTCAATCGAATGCCAGGTAAACATATTCTCATACATGCTGCAAATTCTTTGTATGTAGAAGGCAATTAATTGAACACCCATACAAACGACTAGTGGTGAATAAAACTAAGACTAAATTTCTTTTTGAGTCCCTAAACAAAAAAACAGTCCCTACTTTTGCTCCTCATGAAAAAAAAGTTAACTTCTGGTTTCTCTACAATTTGAATTTTTTAAAAATGTGATCTCTCAAAAATTTAATGAAGATCAAATTTAGTCCTTAAAAAAGGATTAATATGATTTTTTTTTTTGTAAGGGACGAAAGTGAGGATCTATTTTTTTGTTAGGGATCCAAAATAGATTTTACTCAATTATTAAAAGATACCAGAAACTTGGATGAGTTGAATCAATATCAATCGTTTCTTTTTCCTTTTTTCTTTTTTATAGTCAAGCATCTAAATCCATAATTAGTATTTATTTTTTCTATTTCATTTCATGCTAATGAAGATTGAGTCAACTTATAGAATTGATGAAAACAAAACAAAAACTGTGACTTCGATTATAATATATATATGAAAAATTATAAGTACTATTATAAGTTTTTTATTTTTGAGACTTATGAACCTTGAAATAAGATAACCTCATCTCCTTCTAAACTTATATTTATTGAAAGAAAAACAATTATATTTCGTTTAATTGCAATCTTACATTTTGACTAACATTTTATTTTGTTCCTTTTGAAGCATAAGTGTGATATTTTATTACAAAAGACAAAAAAGTGTGATATTCTGGGATTGGGATTGTATAAAGCCCATCAAATAGATTCTTTGCTTGAATTCTAAATCTCAATTCCTACGTAGAGATTAAAACACTGAATCAAAGTATTTAAATTAAGTTTTCAAATAAAAAAATGGATTTAAATTAAATCCACAGTGGTTTGGTTTAATATAAGGTTTATCTAAATTTGTTGTACGTGCAGCAATGACATGTGTATGATTATGATTCTTCATATTTAATGTTTTCACCTTTCGTATGGTATGATTCCCCACATTAAATGCTTTAACACACACACATATATATATATGAAAAATTTGTTACTGTTGCACGTAAAACGGCTACATAAAGCTGTATGTGCAACGATGACATATATATGATTATGATTTTCTACATTTAATTTTTTTACATTTGTATGGTTATGATTCTCCATATTAAATATTTTAACCTATATTTATATATTTATATATATATATGAGAAAAATATTTCTCAAGCTGCTTGAGATATATTTATCTCCGGTCTCTTCAAAATTACGTCGTTTTGTTTATTTATTTTCTTATATTAATTGATTCATTTTTGAAAGGTTATGATTCCATTTTTGTCTCTCTCTTCCTGTATTACCATTGATCTATCTTTGTACGATTCTGATTTAGTAGCTGGAGATAAAGTTATCTTAAGTAGCTTGAGAAATGATAAGCCCTATATATATATATATATATATATATATATAGAGAGAGAGAGAGAAATATTTCTGCAGTAAATGCAGATAAGTTATGTGCATTTATTCCCAAAACGACGTAGTTTTGGGATTGAAATATTAAAAAATTATAATTATAAAGACTATAGTAACCTGAAATAAATTAAAATTATAAAATCACCATGATTTCCGCCCTAAAACGACGTCGTATTGGACTTACTGCAGATAACTTATCTGCAGTAATCGTAGAAAAAGCGAACCATATATATATATATATATATATATATATATATATATATACATATATATAGAAAAAAATATGTGTTATTTTAAAGGATGTAAAGTTGTGTCATTTTAAGAGAGAGAAATAGATAGATAAAGGAGGAGAGATAGTTGACAAAAAAAATAAAGATATGGGTCTCACCTCTTTGTGAAAGTGAAAGGATATAAGTTGTGTCATCTAAAAGGATAAACTCTTTTCCCATATATATATATATGGGAAAACCAAAAGTCATGTTACAGGAAACTTTGTTTTCTTCCTGCACTCACATCATTCTCCGTGCAATGTTTTTTTATTTAATTTTTTTTCTATTATTTAGCGGGCCCCTCAAAAACAGGTCTGGGTGACATGATATACCATATTCCTGTCACAGGATAATAGCAAAACCCTATATATATATATATATATATATATATATATATATATATATATATATATATATATATGTGGAGAAGTGTGTATAATTTTAAAGGGAAAAAAGTTTCCGATGTTACTTTAGATAACTTTATCTAATGTTCATCGAAACGACGTCGTTTTGGGGTTGAAAAATTAAAAAATTAGAGTGATAAAGACTATTATAACCTTGAAATAAAATAAAATTACAAAAATACCATTATTTCCGTCCCAAAACGACGTCGTTTTGATGAACATTAGATAAAGTTATCTAAAGTAACATCAGAAAAAACAAACCCAATTTTAAAAGATGTAAAGTTGTGTCATTTTAAGTGAGAGAAAGAGATAGATAAAGGTGAAGAGAGAGTGGACAAAAAAATACAACTTATATACATTGAGCCCAAAATGACGTCATTTTGAGGCGGAAATCAATGTATTTTTGTAATTATAATTTATTTCAGGGTTATAATAGTATTTTTCATTATAATTTTTTAATTTTTTAACAAACGACTTCGTTTTAGGGACGTCATTTTAGAAGCGAATGTAGATAAATTATCTACATTTACTGTAGAAACATTAAAACCATATATATATATATGTATATATATGAATAATGATCTGTTTATAATTTTTTTTTACAAATTACATTAAGTATGATCAGTTATACACTCTTGGTTGAAGTATGACCGGTCATACTTAATGTAGTTTGTAAACAAAAAAATTTATAAATATAACCTTTTCATATATATATATATATATATATGAAAATTTTGTTATTGTTGCTCGTAAAATGGTTTGGGGAAAAATCGAATCTTTAATATAATATATATTGTAGACATTACATTCATGGTTGTTAAAATCTCGAATTATCACTACGATTTTACGAATTTTTTTCATCAAAATAATTTTACCAATATTCCAAACGCTTTTACGTTTTTATGATTTTTTTATATTATGATTTTACGTTTTACGATTTTTTAATCCCCTTCCGATTTTACTTAAAATATCGATTTTAACAACATTAATTACATATATACCATTGATGATGTAAGAAAACACTGCACGTCGACATCCATGGCAGCTATTACTGTAGAATGTTCTGCTTCTGTTTCATATTAGCCTATTAGGAGGATTTTCTAGGTTTTTAGTTATCAATATTATCACTATCAGATTAATTCCGCTGGAATGAGATCCCGCGATATAAATGGTTCAACCAACAAAAGTAGAATAGAATCATTTTTTCACGCAGAATGTCAATACAACCTTTTTCACTGATTAACTCACTTAACCTCTGCTAATTTTTTAATCTTCTTTTTGTTTTTCTTTCTGCTCAAAAATTATTGTATCGTAATTCGAAAGTGATTATGACATGCACTCTGAAGTCGGAAAGTTATTAACATTTGTGATCCTGACATGACTCTTGTCTACCGCATCTTGAAATGCTTGTAATTAACTTGAAGTCAGCGATCCAAATAAAAAGGTGTAAAGGAACCGTCTGTAGTATGTACTGTTTTTGTATCCGATATAATTTTAAGAGAAAACAATTTTTGGATCCTCGATAAATATTATGGACTTAATTTAATTTCTTAAAAAAAAAAGCGATTCATTATCTTTGTGAAATTTAAAATGGATTCAAGTTAATTTTTTTGAGAGATTAATGTAGATTTTCTTTAAATTTAAGAGGGATAACAATTTCAATTAACTTAGTCTATTTTTATTTTTAGAGAGATTACAAGTCAATTTTTTTTTAAGGAATTAAAATAGACTCCATAATTTTTAGTTAGAAGCCAAAAAATACTTTACTTTAATTTTAAAATAAAATGCCTAGTTATTTTTTTCTTTTTTTTCCTTTAGGTTTATGAATACCCATCTTTCTTGGGAAAAGCATGTACCAATATTTTTTTAATTGGAAAAAGGGTTTATCCTACTTATGGGAGAAGTGTTTTTCCATTAAAATGATACAATTTATGTCATTTCTCTCTACAAAGAGGTAGGATCCACACATTTATTTATTTTTATCCATTCTCTTTCTCTCATGATTTATCTCTTTCTCTCACTTAAAATGACACAACTTTACATCCTTTAAAATGACACACATTTTTCTCTAAAATTATTACATATAATATTTTTTTTTAGGATTTGAGAATAAAAATATAGGATATTTTTTTTTAGGATTTGAGAATAAAAATATAGGATATTTTGCGAATTTTACTTCTCTTTTATCATATGAATTTTTTCAAATTGTTTTTTTCTAAACGATAAATTGTTGGAGTTTGCTGAGACGAAAACATGAAACCCTTTTTAATTTAATAATTAACATTTAGCCATGTTTTTAATTTAAATATTAATATTATTGTATAAAATGTAAAAATAAATTTAATTAAATAAAACTCATAACTCATAAGCATGGTCATTCACCCATTATCAGATACATTTGTTGTTGAGATATATAGTCCCACATTGATTGTGTGGGCAACTAATTAATATGGCCTTTATAAGGCCTTGGACACTCCCACCCTTTGAGCTAACTTTTGGAGTGGTGTATAGGTTCTTTACACTGGTATCAGAGCTTGGGTGACTATAAGGTCACAAGTTCCTCCACTTTTAAGTGAAATTAAAATAAAAAGCACAAAAGGTAAACCAACCAAAAATTAATGTGACTTTTATAAGACCTTAATCACTCTCACCTTTTGAGCTAACTTTTGAGGTGATATATTCCAAAGTTCTTTACATTGTATACTCGTAAAAAATGAAAAAATATCAAAAGAATCTACACATAAAATATGCATACCGTACGTAATAGCGAATATATCATCGCCGCAGTTGAGGCACCATTTTTTTTTTCTTCTATTTATATATACTATTCTTTCTTTTTTCTTATTCTTTACGTTTCACTTTTCTCAGACGTTAAATTAAGACCGCATAGCTAGGTGCCCACTGAGACGCAATTCAACTTGTGTAACAGCAAACACAGATTTGGTTTTCACAGGCTTATTTAATTTGTCTTGAGAATGGACATATGCCGTAAGTTAAACACCGTTCTTTAATCTGGGTATTAATTTTTGTGGCCGATAAATAATTATATCAATTTTGGTAGTCAACTGCGGGGATATGTAAGATAGGATATGATAACTTATCGTATCTTATTTTTATCTCTTGTTTGATGGGTCAATAGGATATGATTAGCTTATCCTATTATCTCATTTTATCCTATCCAATACATGATTTCTTGTTCTATAGGAGGAGCTGAGTTAAAATTCAACAGGATATGATACTAATATTGGATATTCAATATATTCCAACGCTACCAATATATTTGTATTTTTTGCATTATATTTTATTTTTTCTTTCTCCTTTCTCCTTCTACATAATCTTATTAGATTATTAATCAGGTGCTCATCAAACATAGGACATGATATAGACTTATCAGTCCCGTATCATATCCTACCCCTATCAACCCCATATCATATCCTATCCTTATCTTATACTGTCCACCACACGAGCCCTAAGATAATATGAATCATGACATTATCATGATTCACCTCATCTAACTATTATATAAAATCCAACATATTATATTGCAAGTTCGATCTTCATGGTTTTATAACAATTTTGTTACATTCGCTTTTCTTCGATCTTCATGGTTTTATAACAATTTTGTTGCATTCGCTTTTTTTGTAATTGATCACAAATTAAAATATTCAACAAACTTTAAAAAGCTAAACTATATATATATATATATATATATATATATATATATATATATATATATATATAGAGGAAAGTTATACTTACAATTTTTTTTACAACCTCTTACAACCATATCTTAACACCGTTGATTTCCGCCAATCAACGGTTATCATTTATTATGAATTAATAATTAATTAATGAGTTTAATTTGCGAAAATCGTAATCGTTGATTGGCAGAAATTAAGGGTGTTAAGATATGGTTGTAAGAGGTTGTAAAAAAAAAATTGTAAGTATAACCTTTCTCATATATATATATATATATATATATATATATATATATATATATATATATAGAGTCCAGTGTAATACTTAGAAGTTTTATTTCTCATCTCAGCCATTGATTTTTATTCATCTAACAATTATTATTTATTTGAAATTAATAATTAATTAATTGATATAACTCAATAAACTATAACCGTAAAATGGACGAAAATCAATGACTAAAATAAAAAATAAAACTTCTAAGTCTTACACTGGAGTCAAAAGATCTCTCCATATACATACATGTATAGCATGATCCTTTGACACCAAATTTTAACAGTTGATTTCGTGAATCTAATATTTATAATTTATTGGATCATATATATTAATTAATTATTAATTTCTAATAAATTATAACGGTTAGATTAAGAGAAATCAAATATTAAGATTTGGTGTCAAAAGATCTTATCTTATATATATATATATATATATATATATATATATATATATATATATATGTATATATTTATAATGGTTTATATTTCTGCAGTTGCTGCTTATATTTCTGAAGATGTTGTATGTGCAACAATCAAATACTTGCCATATATATACTTGAAAGCATTAAATGCGAGGAATCACAACCATACAAAGTATGAAAGCATTAAATATGGGGAATCATAACTATACACCCGTCGTTGTTTGCAGTAAGTCCAATACGACGTCATTTTGGACGGAAATTATTGTATTTTTTGTAATTTTAATTTATTTCAGGGTTATAATAGTATTTATATTTATAATTTTTTAAGATTTCAATACCAAAACGATATCATTTTGGAAATAAATGCAAATAACTTATTTGCATTAACTGCAGAAACATTTTTCCTATATATATATATATATATATATATATGTTATTTTTACACTATAGTGTGAGAATAATAAATTTATACTAAATCTTTGCCATTGATTGCAACGATTCACATATCTAGTAAATTATAATAGTTAGAAATAAATATGATCCGCAATCAAGATTGAGAATATAGCTTAAATATAAAATGGTCAACCGCTGGTAAGCAAGCTGTACTCAATAATTCGTAGTGATAAATCGAGTTTTTAACAAAATTATCTGATTTGAATCTTAGACAAAGCAATTCGAGGCCGTAACAAAAATCTTGACGCTCTACCCCACAAAGGGGATTATTCTTGTTTAAATAAGTGAAAACACCCCTCTGATCTCTGTGTGCACGCGCTTTCATCTGAAAAAATAAAGAAAAAACAAAAAAAAATAATCTGGATTCTCAAAATGGTAAGATTGATTTTCGACAATTTTTCTATATTGGCAAAAGATGAGAATTAAGTGTATGTGTGGTCACGTTTTCATCTGAAAAAATAAAGAAAAAACAAGAAAACAACCTAGGTTCTCAAAATGGTAAGATTGATTTTCGACAATTTTTCTATATTTGCAAAAGATGAGAACTGATATACGATCAAACTAATGCTGAAATAAATGTTTTGTTCTGAACAGGTAATTATGCTCCAAAATCTGATTAAATCAGCTCTAGGGGCCAGTGAATATAGCTCGTAACTTTTATGAATCTGATGCGTTTTTTTTTCCTTTTTTTTTTGTCTGGCATGTGTTTCTTTAGAATATGATACTGATTTTCCCACTATATATACTTTTTTTACTCTATATAAGGCCTAAATGTTTCCAACCTAACCAGTTAAAACCAAAAATTCACACATAATATCAAATCCCACACAGCCTCAGATCAATTCTGGTTTTTCATTCTCCAAAAGGAAGCCACACATTATGGGAGCCAACTTATCCAACTTAGAGTATGTTAATAGACCCTCAAAATCATCCCCGATCCTCACCTTCCAATCTATTGCTAAATGGAAGGCTCACTTTGATGCCTCCAAAGAAACAAACAAGCTGGTAAGTTTGATATAATTGAGCTATGACTTCAGTATTATTATCATTATATATTAATTGCTGAAATTCTGGGTCTTCATGAGGTCATTAAATGTCTTTCTTAATTTGTTAAAGATGGTAATCGACTTCACGGCTGCATGGTGTGGACCTTGCAAATACATGGACCCAATTATCAAAGAATTTGCAGCCAAATACACAGAGGTCGAGTTCATTAAGATTGATGTAGATGAGTTAATGGTATGGGGCAGAGTTTCCTTTCATAATAACCTTGATCTTTAGTTATTTATGTGCAACATTTTCCTTATAACAGAAACATTTTGATAAAAATGTACAAATTGAAACAGGAGGTGGCCAAGGCATTCCAGGTGCAAGCAATGCCAACATTTGTACTAATTAAGAAAGGCAATGTAGTTGAAAAGGTAGTGGGAGCAAAAAAGGAGGAGCTGCAGAAGCTGATTGAGAAACGCAGGAATTGAGTGTGCACTGATTATCTTGCACTGTAATAAAGTCAATATGACTTTGTATATATATATATATATATATATATATATATATATATATATATATATACCAAGTGCTATAGAGAAAATAAGACCAATTATATGCTAAATTGGTGATGCTGTCTGCCATGGGCATGCCTGTGTGTGTTCGAAGGTGAAACTACTATTTTAATCCCTACAAAGTTGGATATTAAGTTTTAATCAATCTTCTATGTTTAATTAATGTATGACCAAATGTGATTTATAATTTACTTATTCTTGCAATGAGGATACATAATGTGACATCTTACAAACTATCTCAACTCCTCCTTACACCTAATTCTAGTGGCATTGTAATACAATTTTTTACGCTGGCTGTAGTTAGACACTAAAAGAGGGAAAAAAGCCCAATACAATATATCAGACTGCCATGGCTCTAAGGATACTGTTAGAGAAATACAAGCATCATAAGTTTTTGGACGAAATAATACATGGAATGAGAGTCGGTGTGACAAAGTGATAATGAGTAAGGGTAAGCATCGGTTAAATTGAATTGTATTTTATGAAAAATCGAACTGAATTGATTTAAACAGTTCGGTTTGCTTCAAAACCAGTTCAGTTCGATTGAAAACGGTTCGGTTTGGTTTGCAATCGATTCGGGTCGATCCTATTTTCAAAAAAACGAAAAGAAAAGAAAAGAACAATTAAAAAATTAAAGAAATAAAGTAATAAAAACCATTTCGATTCAGTTCGGTTTGAAAACGATTTGGTTTATGAACTAGTTCTTTAAAAATCAATTCGGTTCATGAACTGATTTTTAAAAATCAATTGTTTTAAGTGCAATTCAGTTCAGTTCACAGTTTGATTCAAGTTTTTGGTTATTTTGCACATCCTAGTCATGAGTTCGATATTCATCGCCTATATATATTATATTAATAAAAATAATTAAATATCATGAAATTTGTTAGTTCAGGTAGGTTGGCTTGATGCATTATATCTTTCAAGTCCAATGAACTCTCGTGTAAAAGGATAATATTAGATAAATGCAAATTATTAATATAATCTCACCAAACAACCTAAACTTTTGGGATAAATGATTCTTTACATGTCATTCTATCCCAATTTTTTTTCTTGCTAAGACCCCATTTAAGGATACGTTATGTTTCCTGATTTTCACGTTTCTGGGCTACTCTACACTATTTTTATTGTTGCAACGATGCTTATGCATGTACTACGATAAATTTTTTTTTTTTTAATTCAAGGGGCAGCTGCATCTAGGCGATTCCATTAGTTAAATTTTTTTTTTGGATATTAGGGAATAACAAAAAAAAACCAGAAAACCAGCTACCTAAGGATCAGTGGAAAGACTAGCAATTCCCATCAGATCCTTCTCAACAAAACTAAAACAACATATAGGAATATTAGGTAGAATAACCAATTCCCAAGAATTATGGTCTACTATTGAGGCCAAGAAATTCGCCACTTCATTTCCTTTCCTATTTGTATGAGTCAGTACAACACTCCACTGCTTGTCAATGAACTCCTTGATTTTATGCACCAGATGGCCAAAAGGGTGATCCAGCAGACAAACACCTTGAACCAATTGAATTGCTTCCGCAGAGTCCCCTTCCAAATGAATTTTTCTGAAACCATGCTCCCAAGCCACTTGTAACCCTAGTTGCATACCCCATAACTCAGCCTTTAAGGGATTTCCTTGCCCAATTTTCTTTATAAAACCCATCAGCCATCTGCCATCACTATCCCTTAACACACCTCCACATCCAGATTTGTACCCATCCAATGAACAGGACCCATCAGAATTGATTTTTATCCAGCCCTTTTGAGGAGGTCCCCACAGAACCCTGCTTTCATCCTTAGCAGCCACACGAATAGCTGCAGTATCCAGAACAGTTTCAGCATGAACTACATTCTGCACAAAGGTCCTTATCTTTTGACATAAATTCTCAGGAGAGCAGTTTTCATTTCTAAACACCAGATTATTCCTAGCTTGCCAAATCATCCAACAAGTCACTCCAAATGTGAGCTTCCAAAACTGGTCCTGATTATCCTTCTTCCCTCCTCCCAAGTTAAATTGAAGCCAATCCAGCATATCACCAGAAAAGAAAGAAATAGAGATTCTTTTATCAATTAACAACATCCACACCTGTTTAGCCCAACCACAATCCCTCATCACATGGCAACAATCCTCACAAAAAAGCATGCATCTAGGACAGTTAGCTTCATCTCCCATATGCCTTCTTCTTCTTTGCTCATTGGTTAACAGTTTGTCCCCAATCAACAACCATAAAAAATGTTTCACTCTCTCTGGTCCCTTCCACTTCCAAGCAAGATCCCACTGACTATCATGTTGCTGCAAACCAGGATTATCCATCCTGATAAATTGGTAAGCAGACTTAACAGAAAACAAGCCATTGCTAGAAGGCTTCCAGTATATCCTATCCTCCTCATCTCCCTCCTTGGGACACTCCAACTTAGCTATGGCTTCACAAACCTCCTCAGGGAGGAACATACTAAATTTACCCCAATCCCACTCACCATCTGGCCTAACACAGCAAGCAACCTTCCAACCTTTAGCATCTTCAGGGATGGTATTAGTGGCTTTATCAATAAGCTGACCAACTTCAGGCACCCACCAATCCAACCAGAAACTAGTTAGCTTACCATTTCCCAACATAATTCCAGTTCCTGACATAATCTGATTCCAGGATGAGCTTATACCTCTCCACAGATTACTAACATTGGCACTCTTAGGAATATGAGGCATAATACAATCCTCAATCTTGTATTTATTTCTCAGAACCCTTGATCCCAGAGAGTTCTTGTTGGACAACATCCCAACTGAAGCCACGGTTATGTTTCTCTATCTCCTCACAAACTGATTTGGGCAACCAGGCTGTTTGCATAGCATAGGTAGGCATAGCAAACAACACTGATTTGGCCAATGTGAGCCTCCCAGCTAGAGACAGTGATCTAGCACTCCAAGCATTCATTCTCTGTTTGACTCTCTCCAGAATATGCTCAAAGGATTTTTTGCTGGCTCTGGAATGGTTTAGAAACACTCCCAAGTACTTTCCCAGGTTAAGGGTGCTGCTAATCCCTAAACAGTCACTGATCTCCTTGACTCTACCATACTGGACATTTTTTGAAAAGAAAACTCTAGTCTTCTCAAGATTAATTTTCTGCCCTGAACTCAAAGCAAACAATCTAAAAACTTGATTGATGATTTGAGCCTGATCCAAGGAAGCTTCAGCACACAAGATGATATCGTCAGCAAAGAATAAGTGAGATAAGGGAGAACCTCCTTTCCTAAGGACAATTGGCTTCCAAGCTTTAACATCAGCAGCTACTTGAATAAGGTGAGCTAGCCTTTCTACACATAAGACAAATAAGTATGGAGATAGGGGATCCCCTTGTCTTACTCCACGGGAAGGTTTGAAATATCTAGTGGGCTGCCCATTCCATAGCATGTTTAGCTCACTGGTCCCAACACAACTGTCAATAAGAGAAATTAGCTTGGCAGGTAAACCCAATTCAGACAAAGTATCATGTATAAAGGACCAACTCAGCCTATCATAGGCTTTCTCAAGGTCAACTTTGATCATCATCCATCCTTGCTTCCCTTTCTTATTCTTCATTGAATGGATGAGCTCTTGAGCTATCAAAATATTATCAGCACTATGTCTCCCTTTGATAAATGAGTTCTGATTTGGAGAAACCCAGTTTGGCATCAAATCTCTAAGTCTGTGAGCAATTACCTTGGTGACTATCTTGTAAGACACATTACATAAACTAATGGGTCTAAAATCCTTCATGCACTCAGGATTCTCAACCTTTGGGATTAAACACAAATGAGTTTGGTTAACCAGTTGAGTCTTCCTAGGATCATCAAAAATACCTCTGATTAGCTCACAAACCGATTTGCCAACAATATGCCACTGAGTTTGAAAAAAAGCTGCATTAAGACCATCTGGGCCAGGTGCTTTAAATCTCCCCATTTTGAACACAATGCTCTTAATCTCCACCTCATCAGGAGTTTTAGCTAGATTTGACAGCAACTGGTCCTCGATTTTAGGGAAAACACCTTTAATAGGAAACTATTCCTGTGAATCATCTTCTTCCAAAAATAGTCTCTCAAAATACTGCACAGCTGTCTCAACCAACTCCTTAGTATCAGCTGTCCATTCTCCAAGGTCATTTTTAATGGCAAGTACCTTATTCCTTCTTCTTCTAGCAATTGTAGAAGAGTGAAAGAATCTCGAATTCCTATCACCAAATTTCAGCCAATTAACTCTGGATCTCTGGAACCAGTTCAATTCTTCTCTTAGCAATATAGTTTCCAATTCCTTCCAAAGATCTCTTTGCAGTTTTTCAAGCTCTCTGTCCGGACCAGCTTCTAACTTTAAGTCCAACCCCTGAATCCTGGCATAAATCCTATGTTTCTGTCTCATCCCTTCATTAAAGACCTCTTGATGCCATTTTGATGCAGCAGTTTCAAACTCACTTCTGGCCTCAGTCCAAGCAGCTAGGAATTTGAACTGTTTATCCCCCTTAACCTCCTGACAAGCTTGGAAATTGCTAATAAGGATTGGCCTGTGATCAGAATTAAAAAAGGGTAAATGAGCTATAACTCTATTAGGCCAAGCCACATTCCAAGCTTCATTGGCACAAGCTCTATCAATCCTCTCTTCTAATTTACCCCTCCTCCAAGTGTAGCTAGGTCCCTTAAACCCAACATCAAAAACTCTACACTTCTCAAGACATTCCTGCATATCCTGGATGCTCCTCCAACACACATCAAGACCCCCAACCTTCTCATACTGCCTAAGGACAGAATTGAAGTCCCCAACCAGAACCCAAGGTCCCACCACAGAATCAGCAATAACCAGCAACTCTTCCCAAAGCTGTAATCTCTCTACCCTCCTCGGGCTACCATACACAAAGGTAGCTACTTCCATCCTTTTATCTTCAACATAATGAATCCTAGTATGGACATATTGATGGTGGGATTTGATTATCTCCACCTCGACATCCCTGTCATCCCAAAGAATCCAAACACCACCAGAAAAACCCACAGTCTCCTGCTTAAATTTTTTTGAAAAACCAAGTTTCCTAATAATAACATCTCCTCTAGCACCCTGAATTTTAGTTTCCAGTAATGCCAAAACCTTTATTTTAAATCTATATTTCATATCTCTAATCAGGGCAGGGAATTCTTTTTTCCCTACTCTTCTACAATTCCATGAACAAATATTCATAAACATAAACAATAAAAAAGTACCCAGTACCTTAACCAACAAAGAAAGACCCATCAAGGTACAGCAAAGCTCCTTGCCTCTCCTAGGCCAGTATTACCTTGATTAGCTTCAAACCCATTCGGATTATGACCTCCAGACTTCATCATGCTTGTAATATCATCCCCTTTGACTTTGCCAAAGGCTAAGCTATTCGGATCCTGAGAAGGTTGCAGCACCCCCTTCTACATTCTTACTCCTAGAAGGCAACTTCTGTACTCCCACACTCGAAGAATTGGGAGGCTGGTTCTCAGAGGATAAATGTCTAACTGTAGGACCTTTAGAAGAGGATTTATGTTTTTGTACTCCACTAAACCCCACAGAACCTCCCTTTAAAAAGCCAGCTTTTAGACCACTTTTTTTTTCTGTTTTTCAACTCCTGAAGAAGAGACACTAAGATGTGATCCTTTGGCTCTCCTTTCATTACCCCCCTCCTCCTTCAACTCTAATAGGAATAACATCCTTCTTGTCACCTGTTGGTAAAACCAATTCAGGAATAACTTCCTCAGTTAGGCTATCTGTAGCCATAACTTCCCCAACAGTTTCACCATCTCCACCAGTAGCATTCTGTGCCTTCAGCTTCTGAATATCTTCTTTAATAGTTGATTGGTTAACCGGAGATGCTCTCATCTTCCTTCCTCTCCCTGGCTTCTGGACAACCATCCAAGATCCAAAGGCCTCTTCTTCCTTGTTATTAACTACAGCTTTTTCCTTCACCTCCATAACCTGATTCTTAGAATCAGTACCATCAGCTTCAGAACTAATCTTCTGTCCACCAATACTAGGACATAAGTCCTTTCTATGCCCATACATACCACAACCAAAGCATATCATATGCAAACCTTCATACCCCACATGCATAACCTTTTCACCAATCTTAAACTTAGATAAGAAACTTTTTCGAAGGTCAACTTCTACACAGATCCTAGCAAACCTGCCTCGTTCAGTAATATCCCCATCTCCAAGCTCATTCCTTCTCAATGAGTTCTTATCTATCTTAAGTGTTCTCCCAAACATGCTTCCAATTAACCAGAGATACTGTGTGGTATAAAACTCCAAAGGGAGACCTGGAATTCGGATCCAAACTGCCAGACGCTTCAAATGATCATCATACGGATCAAAGAATGGTCTCCAACGCTGCACAGTTAAGTAGTGATCAACAATGATCCATGGACCATCATGAAGCACATGAATGTAGTCACCATCCTCCTGAAATCTGATCACCAAGTAACCATTATCCACATCAATCACCTCAAATGTACCCACCAAGTTCCACATTCTCAACAATCGAGTCATTAGAAATCGAGCCCCCATCCGTTTCCCCAGCAACTTAATAATCAACGCCTTTCTCCACTGTTTGCAGGCCTCTTTATGCTGGCTCCTCGAGAATTTTAAGGACGGGCATAGTGGATCGTCTTCCCCATCTCCAACTACATCCTCCAACATATCCTCCTCATCTTCCTCCCTACGTTGTATAGCCATCCAGTCTTCTTCACTATCCGACATACCTTCAGCACCATTAAGCCTCAGTAACTTATCTCTATAAGAGATAATTCGACCAGATTTCCCTGAAGATCCACCAGACTGAGGTTCTCCTTCATCCTTTAGCATTTTCTCAGGGGAGTGAGCTTTCCCCACCAGATCTTCCTTTCCCTTAGCATGCATCTCTGGAACATCCAGATCTCCTCCCTGTATCCGATCATCCATCAGATCATTAAGGATCGCTATGCCTTTGGGTTTCTTTATACTTCGATTCAGATTATCTTCCTCCTCCGTCGACGCCGAGCGTGATTCAACCATAGCAATCAGAAACTTCTTTTGTTTTTCAGAGAGAAAAGAGGTCAAGCGCGTAAGATTCACTCGTGAAAACTAAATGGGGTTTCATTTTTGTTTTCCTCTCTTTCCATTAGTTAAATTTAATCTTGTATTTTTAGTTACTATTAATATTATTAGTTTTTTTTTTGTATGAACCTGGAGATATCTCTATTCAACCTCCTCCAGTCACTTTGTCTTCATAATACAACCCGAAAGACTACTTCCTCATTAGAACAGATGGTGCATTGAACTTTGTCACCAGAAGAAGGATGAGACTAATCTCCCATCGAAAAGAAAGACGATTCCTCTAGCCCCCAAAGATTTTTTAAAAATTTACTTGAGCTAGGATTTGAATCCTTTACCCAAACAAACGGTTGTGTGTGTGGAGTTGAAAAAAAAAAAAAAACAGATTATGTGAACTTTACATACGAGAGGATTCACTCTCACTCAATTTGGTGTTTTGACAATAAATCTGTTTTATTTACATTTATGCATCTTCACTTGCCAATCATAATTTCTATTCTCTTAGTTTGAATCATATTTTATGTTTGTAATAAAATAATGTTTTCAGGTTGCTAAATGAATAACAATTTGTGATGAGTTAGACGAAAAAAGGAATTAAGTTGGATGTACAATTATTGTGTTCATCTATGAGTAATTATAAACCGTAATTCACATGGGCCATAACATGGCAAATCTACTTTGATATTTCCAATTACTTCTTATAAAGTTTAGTAATTTACTATAACAAAATGGGTAGAAGGAAATTCTTCAGAAATCAAGCACCACTACACCTTATTCCGAACGTTACTTAGAATATATAAATAATTTTTACAATTTAAATACTAATAATAAATTTATATTTCATACCTTCATGTTCTATTTCGAATTTTTTTTGGTACTTATTAATTTTACACGAGACCAATAATATTTATTAATTTTCATTTATTTATTTAATTTGATAATAAATAAAGTGAAAGTATATTAAAATTTTGAGCCACTTTATATTCTTTGAATTAATTTTGCTTCTTAAAAATACTAAAGGAGATACTGTGATATATAAAAGTCGCTCAAAAGTTAAAAATTTATTAATGTAGATAAATTCCACACCCATCATTAAGATCTTCTCGAAGAAGCAAAGGGAAAAATATTTATAAAAAAAAGATATTGATTAAAAGAAAGTGGAAGTTTCTTTGGAGCCACATACAAAACTTGGCTACTCGTAAATGAGTTATATTTAGAGTAAATATCTTTTTTGGTTTCTAACAAAAAATACGGTTCTCACTTTAGTCCTTTATAAAAATAAATTAGTCAGTTAGTTCCTAACAAATTTAAAGTGGACCCATTTAGTTGAAATTGTGGTCCCTCACAAATTCAAAAAAAAACTCATGTTAGTCCCTCAAAAGGACTAAAATGGGTCCACTTTAAATTTGTTAAGGACTAACTGATTAATTTATTTTTGTAAGGGACTAAAGTGGGGACCGTATTTTTTGTTAGAGACCAAAAAATGTGTTTACTGTTATAAAAAAAAAAAAAAAAGGTGTTTACTCTTATATTTATTTATCTTATATGTTGCATAAGATAAATAAGTTTCCTGTACACATACATAAAGTAGAGGTGTATCTCACATTTATTTATTTTTCTCTTTTTATTTGTGGTTTCCACTTGTAATTTTATTTTTATAATATGTGACAATTATTTTTCTATAACATGATATAAATATAACCCTATATTTTAGGATATATTCTCCCGACAAAATCGGCCTTTAAGCACATCCTAAAGTCTTCGTAATCAATTGAAGCTTTCTTCTTCTTCTTTTCTTTCAAAAATATATATATAATTCATTCTGTTGAGATATATAGTCCTACATTGATTGGATGAGCGACTAATATGGCCTTTATAAGGCCTTGGGCACTCTCACCCTTTGAGCTAGCTTTTGGGGTGGTGTATCGCAAGGTTCTTTACATGGTATCAGAGCCTCACCGTCCCCCACACTTTAAAGTGGAATTAAAATAAAAAGCACAAAAAGGGCCGTGTAATTCCACGCTTCTAGCCTAAATGGCTCTTGCGTGAGGGGGCGTGTTGAGCTAGCTTTCGGGGTGATGTATTCCAAAGTTCTTTACATGGTATCAGAGCCTCGCCGTCCCCCACTTTCTCTTGTGGACTTTCTTAGCACAGGTAGGCTGGGTCTGTTGCATCTTCCACTCTTCAAGCCCAATGGACTCTCGTGTGAGGGGGCGTATTGAGATATATAGTCCCACATTGGTTGTATGTGCAACTAATGTGGTCTTTATAAGATCTTGGACACTCTCACCCTTTGAGTTATGTTTTGAGGTGGTGTATCCTAAAGTTATTTACACATTCTTCTCTGTTTTTTAATTTCTTCTAGTAATTAGAAAAACTGATCAGGGGCTAACAAATTAATAACTGCCTATATATAATAAGCATACAGAAACATATCATATACAGTGGCCTTTATTTCTGTAAATGGTTTTAGGTTGTGCATAGGAGAATCAGAATATAAATCAAAGATTGGTGCAATTAGGGAGATGTAAATATATAACATCATAAACACAAGAAAGTCTATGTCCACTATCCACAGCTTTTTTTTTTTTTAGTTCTTTTCTTTTCTCAAATTTCTCTTCAGTGTTGAACTTAGACCGTTGTCATAAAGAAGATGATACCCTGTGGTTATGGGCAAGCCGCAATTAAACTTGCGTAACAGCTCATTCGAATTGGACTTGAGAACAGGTCCACGAGTTCAATTCATTTTGGGGAAGAAAAAAGTTTATTCGATTCATTTTCCCCTAATGTATTATCTTTCCTTTTTTTCTTTAAACTACACATTGTTCTTTTCGGTAATAAGGGCTTCCATTTTTTTTTGTGGGCCAGATTACATCGTCTTACTTTTTCTTTTTGGTGAATTTCATTGTCTAACTTACGAGAAGATTTATGATTATACAGCTTTACCGTCACATAAAACACAGAACCTCATTTTGCACCAAATTTTATACGCATCTAAATCATGCGAAATGAACCGATATTAAAAAGTGAATCGGTTTAGAGAAAATAGTTTGATTCTTAAATTGGTTAGAAAAAATATGATACAATTCTATTCGGTCTGACACAAAATTAAATATGGCTTGATTCAATTCGGTTTTTAGCCCAGACTGAATTAGTAAAGTGAGTTGGTTCTTGAACTGAACTGATTTTGAAAAAATAGTTTAATTTTTGAACCAATTAAAATTAATATTATTAAAATCGGTCTGATCATTAATCCAGTTGAGGTACTGGGTCATTGGTTCAACCAGTGGGTCACTGGTTCAACCGCATGACCCGGTAATTATATGCAATTTTATAATTTATATTAAAAAATTATAAACATACTCAAATATCTAAAAAAATGATAAAAATTTCAAATATTTTAATATAAAAAATAATAAATCACATAATATTATCCAATAAAAGATCAAACAAAAATATAATGATCGTGATACGGGGCTTTAGATTCAGAAAACGATATCGCTAACTATAAATTAATTCAAAATTTTCTGCATAGTACATAATTGAGATAATATTAGTGTTGTAGGTACATAACTTATGTAAGTCAATAAGAAAAAAAATATTCAAATATGTCCATTATTATTTTTTTTGAGACCGGGCTGGGTAACCAACCGGGTCATCGGTTTTTATGAAAACCGACTGGGTCGGACCGGGTCGCACCGGTTCTGATGCATGGCCGGTCCGTTGCTTCAACCGGACCGGTTATATGATCGGTTTATCGGTTCCCGGGTCGGTCCGATTTTAATAACACGGATTAAAATAAAACGATTCAGTTTCTGAATCAATTTAAAAAATGTAGTTTTTTTTTTTGGGTAATATTTTCCTTATGTTGCTTAAGAGAAATATTATCTCTTACACTCACATTTTTCAAATGGGTCTCACAAGAATATTTTTCTCTCACCTCCAACTTTTTTTTCTCTCCTATTTATTGTTTGAGTAGGAGATAATACTTTTCTTATGTTTTTTTTTTGTACGGTTTGGATCAGTTCACATTTCAAAATCCAATTCATTTGGATTTTTTTCACTAATAGAGAGTACTGAAGTATGGCATAGTTCTGAGTTTGAATTTGATTATGCCATCATGTTTGATTGTTTGTAAATGTTTAATAAATATCATGTATATATATATACACACTTCATTAATTTATGAAAACCACTTAATTTAATTCTCTGTAATGGATTGATAAAGCCTGTATTCTTGTGCTCTGATATCTGACCTCCGCCTAATTTAGTATTTAAGTGTTTATTCGATTGCTTACTATAGCATGTCAGTTAGAAAGAATCTTATACGTTTTTAAAAGCAATGATTTAATATTTTCTTACCTCAACTATAAATGAGGCTTTCCCGCAGAATGCTTTCATCCAAACAAGTTAGAAGCAAAACCTCTTCAAAGTGTAGGGATAAATTTTGGTTTCTCAGTCCCCAAAAGAAAGAAGCAAGATGGGAGCCAACTTATCCAACATGGAGTATGCTCATACATCATCACTGTCATCTCACATTCTCACCTTCCATTCCACTACTAAATGGAAGGCTCACCTTAATGCCTCCAAAGAAACTAACAAGTTGGTATGCTATTTGCACTTATAATCATTAGTCCTTCACTTTTCTTTTTCTTTTTTAGCTCTCATAAGATTGTCCTTTTTCTTTTTCTTTTTTCTTTTTTTTGGCTAAAGATGGTGATCGATTTCACGGCTACATGGTGTGGACCTTGCAAATACATGGACCCAATTATCCAAGAGTTTGCAGCAAAATACACAGAAGTTGAGTTCATCAAGATTGATGTGGATGAGTTAATGGTATATTACTCATTTATTTCCCTTCACAATTACTCATATGTCTCTTAATGTAAGAGACATTGTACATGCATTTAATTACATTTTTTGTTCTGTATTCCATAAATACTCAAAGTCAGTGGATCATATCAGGGACTGATTTGGTACAAAACTTTAATTGTAAACAGGGGGTCACTCAAGAATTCCAGGTGCAGGCAATGCCAACATTCATATTGATGAAGAAAGGAAAAGTTGTTGACAAGGTGGTGGGAGCAAGAAAGGAAGAACTGCAAAAGCTGATTGAGAAGCATCAAAACTGAGTGTGTGATCTTGCAATAGTGGCCAAGGCTATCGACCATTATAAGGGAACGGGAATAAGGAGAATTTATTCAATATCTATCTCGTGTCATACCACGTTAACATGTTGGTGTCATATGCTTTTGGCGTGCAAAGTATTTGTGTGTAACCAAAAGGAAAAACAATGTTATTTACTTCCATAATGATATTTGAAGTAGAGATTCCTTATTAAGTTCGAATAACTCAATGTCTATTTGTCCACGTCCTTGGTGGTTTGATTAAACTATTTCTAATGACTTCTCCTCTAAATTATTTTCAAATTATTATACATTGCAACTTGAACATGATTGAAACGGTTATATACAGTGGCGGAGCCAAGATGTCATTTAGCTGGGGTTAAAAAATTTAACACATTAAATTATCAAAACATTTATCGTAATTACACAAATCTATTAGGAAAAAAATTTACCATGAATTCTAGCATATTTATCTAAATTATTTACTAAATAATGTCACATAACATTGAAAATCCAAATAAATAAAAGCCAATTATTATATATCAAAACAAACATATAAAAAACACTAACCTTTCCGGCAAGCATTCCAAACAAAAGAATCACACTTTTCCCACAGCATAATAAGCAATGGTCTTTGAGATGAAAGTTATTATTTATTTATTTCTTATACGAGGGATCCCTACACTGGTCTTTGAGAATCATAAACCAATACCAAGTTGCATATATCTTTAGAATTCACATTTTTTACTTTTCCTTGATATTAAAATAAAGGTGTTGTAAGTCACTAAGCTATCATGAATTAATTTATACAACTGCATGTATAAGTATTAAGTAATTGCTTGCAATTTCCTAATTAGTTATAAAATAGTTAGGGTAAAGTGTGTGTCATTTTAAAAGATATAAAGTTGTGTCATTTTAAAAGAGAAAAAGAGATAGATAAAGGAGGAGAGAGAGTTGACAAAAAAAATAAAGGTGTGGGTCTCACCTCTTTATGAGAGTGAAAGGATATAAGTTATGTCATTTAATAGCATAAACATTTTTCCCAAATAGTTATTGTGAGAAAAAAAAAGGAAAATAACATTTTTGTTTTAAAGAGCAACGACATAAAATGCAATAGGCTTTGTCGCTATGAAAAAAGCCATCGAGGTGTTGCATAATTTCATAATTTATCAAGAGAGTGTATAAAGTCATAAAGACGATTCAAATATTTAAGGAAACATGAAAGACCAAAACACTCAAAGCCACTCCACTCTAACAAGCATATCTTCACAAAATAAAATCAATCACAGGGAAAACTAGAAAAATTTCAAAATTAAAAAGCACCAATTTAAGAGCAAATATCATTGGGGTTTCTAACTTTGAGAGAACAGCAATCAAATACGAAGATACTGTTAGGGTTTCCAACTTCACTCAGAATGTATTAGGCTATTAGCTGAGAGAGAGCATATATGGGGCCAAATTTTAACTTTAGAAGGGGCCAAATAATAATTAATTATAAAATTATATATAATAATAATTTTTTTTAAATCAGTAGGGGCCCAGGCCCCATCTATGGACAACGTGGCTACGCCACTGGTTATATATATATATATATATATATATATATATATATAGGGGTGTAAATGGGCTGGGCTGGGCTGGGCTTTGGCCATCCTGGCCCAAGCCTACGTAAAAAAAAATTCAGCTTATCTGGTCTACTGGCCTATTAAAGGCTTTATTTGTAGGCCAAGCCCGACCCATTTTCAAAAATGAGAAAGCCTGACATGGCCTACAGGCCTTGTAGGCCTCCCACTATATATACTAAGCAAAAAAAATAATTGTATAGAGCAAAGAAAGTTCCATTCATGCATGCACTAGTACTTCTCATAAGAAAAAATGACAAACAAGAAAGAGTCAACATAATACCTCAGCTCTAGAATGTATATCATAGAGGAATAGAGTCAAAGAAATGGGAAAAATAAGAAAAATACAATTACTGGCTGTTGAAATAAAGTCTACAAGAGAATGTCATTCATCTAAAAATCTTTAAACCACCATCAAGACAAGGGAAAGAAGAGTATTATTGAAAGATCTTCATCAGTAACATCATAATCCAGCAAGCTACCCATTGCTCCATGGTATTAAGCTGCAACAACATGTAAAATTTGGAGACATTAGACAAGTTTTCTTTTCATAAAATAAAATAGCACAAAAAGTAAGAGATATTGATATTTGGTACTTTGTGTCTTTGCCACATAAAATAAATATTATTTTATTATTTTATTTTAATAAATTAAATAGGTCAGCCTACAAGCAGGCTGTAGGCCGGGCTTGACAAAATTGGCCTATGGCCTATTTATTAAATTTTTTTTTTTATAAGCCTAAGCCTACTCTACTTTTCTGAAAGGCCGGGCCTGGGCTGGGCTCAATATAGGCCGGGCCGTAGGCTGGGCTGGGCCAGCCTGACCCATTTACACCCATATATATATATATTGTCCATCTTAAAAGTATATTGTCCATCTTAAACTTTTAAGTGAAATAACGTAATATTTAATTAATACTTGAACAACAACTCTATTGGTGATCACGAGCATAGATTTGAGTCTTAAACTTCTAAAGAGTACGAAGAGTAATGTTTCCCTTGAATGGTCAAATAGATCAATGTGAATGTGATAGTGATATAAGAATAGACACGCATATTTTCTAGAAAAAATGTGTGTCGGACACTTTTGCACACCAACACATTATGATAAACGATCAATTTTTTTTAACACGTGGTCAACACTTTGATACGTTTTTCGACACGCATTCGACATGTGGTTAATATTTTCCAACATTTTTTTTAATCCAAATTTTATTTTATTTTATCTTTTTAACTAAACATAAAAAATTAATTTATAAATTAAATATTTTTTATTGTGGAATTTGATATGAAAAATTAACAAGTTATGAAAAAAAAATTGCTTTTATATTTATGTTATGGAATTTAAATATTTGATTGGTTATATGACTTATTATGAACTGTTATATGTATTAAATATAAATTATATTATACATATTAAAAATATTATTTAATATCAAAATATGTCCTAACTTGTTGAAATTTAATATGTTTTAGAATTAATGTGTCGTGTCTCGTGTCGCGTATCGATGCAACATAGATAGTGATAGAGAAAAACAATAATATGAAATAAATAATAGATTCGGTTCAACACACGACCCAATGAAAAAGCCCAAATATGCCTAACCAGCCCATCCAGAACAAGAACAAAATTATATTCAAGTTGTGATGATGATTTTAGGGTTTTCATTCTATCCTTTAACATAACACAACAAACTTTCCTACTCTTACAATATTTTGTGGGGCCCACACTTTTTAAAACAAAAAAATAAATAAAAAATTAAGGCACGCAAAACGAATCTCTATAACATTACACAATCACTTTTCCTACAACATAACTCTTATAAAACCCATGATTTTATTATGGGAAATGCAACTACAATGTTGCAGGAAACAAAAGCAATCCTGCCACTTATCCATAGAAAAATGTGCAAACTTTTTTTTTTGTTTTTTGTTTATTAAAGTGACGGGTCTCACAAAATTTTGTGTATGTGAAAACCCCACCCCACCTCTTGCAATATGACCGATCGAATCCCCTTTTATTATTTGTGATAAAAAGTTTATCTTAGATGTCAACACAGTTTTGCAATCATTATCACTTTTTTTTAAAATTCTTAAAACGAGAAAAATGAAAATTAATGATTATTGCTTTAATAACTAAAAGAAAGATTTTTAAAGAAAAGCTTTGACAATCGATATGGAGCTCAAAACGTATCACAAATCTAAACTCCTAGCTCGTCGTGATTTGCATCACTTTGTCCATGTCCAATCCTCTAGCTTCTGGATTGCATTTAGATCGAATTGCAAACCACCTGAGGCAAGAACCTCACCCAAAATGCCTTTTTTTTACAATCTTACTTTTAACTCGTGTACAACCTTTGATGTTATGAATGACATTTAAGATTGGATCCAAGAGTCTCATCTAAGAAGAGAATATATCGAAAGTGACTGAACGTACAAATCATATTTCACACGTGATTTTCGAAAGAGAGAAGACATTGATGTTACCCAAATTTGTTCAAGTGAGAACTTAGCAAATTTGTTTAGAATGGTATTGTCTAATCGTTATAGTTCAGAACATTGATCACTTCAATATTTTATTCACCTATATGAATATAAATAGGAATCAACGGTGACGTTTTGTTCTATCAATGGTAGCACAATTTGGTGTTTTGTTCTATCAATGGTAGCACAATTTGGTGCTAGAAGGAATATATATATATATATATATATATATATATATATATATGAGTTCCTCATTTCTGCTATCACTGCTGATGGAAAAACTTGCAGCAAATATATTTATATTAAAATACGTAGCCGGATCTTGAAATTAAAAAAAAAAATTCAAGATACTAAACCGGATCATGGTGGAAGTAAGTGTTGCTACAAATTTTCTGATCTGCAGCAACAAAGAGCTATTAAAACCTATATATATATATATATATATATATATATATATATATACACGAAAAATCCAAAATTCAGTCACTAGACTGTCCAGTGAGTGAATTTTGACTATATTCTCCCGCGAGAATATAATGTAAAAACATTACTATGATGTTCGGCAGATGTTCTTCCGGGAGAACATAGTCAACAATTTTTGTCCACTATATTCTCGCGGGAGAATATAGTGCACTGGACCTAATTTACATCAAGTCACTTGATATTCACTAAACCCATATATATATATATATATATATATATATATATATATATATATATATATTTATTTATTTATTTGTGTGTGTGTGAATCTTTTGTTGGGCAAAGTTGCGGTGTTAAAAAGATTCGGGACCATTGTGTCTTTAGTTTATCATATTTTAATTATGTTTCAGTGTTTCTCATTTTTGTAGTTATTTCTGCACTATATTGAGACCGTACGTGCGTTATCATAAAGTAGATGCTCCCTATCCAATTGTGCAACAGCTCATAAGAGAGGCTTCATCAGAACCTTCAGATGCTGCAAGAGTTCAATCCACACCTTGCCTTCCTGATGTTTGCTGATATACAAATCATGCTTTTACGTCATGTAGTGCCAAGGGGGAATAAACACCGTTCTTTATTATCATTTTGGTTTTTCCTCTTCATAAATTTTATAGCTGGCCACTTGAAGGAATTTGATTCGTTTTAGAAGAAATCACATGGTAGTTTCCTTCTACTTTGTTAATCTCTATATATATCCCAGCCAATTTGCCATCATCTGAACCAATTAAGAAACCTCAAGACTCTTGCAACGCATTGCTTATTCATACATCAAAATCAATTTTGGTTTATCATTCTTGGCCAGAAGAAGGAACCAACATGGGAGCCAACTTACTTAATTTTGTGTATGTTGATAGATCTTCAGAGCCATCCCACATCCTTACCTTCCATTCCACTGCTAAATGGAATGCTCATTTTAATGCCAACAAAAAAACTGACAAGCTGGTATGATTGAAGCTATCTTTAACTATAATCATTATCCACTAGTAAAATTGGTTTTCCTGATACAGTCTTTCTTTGCTATAGATGGTGATTGATTTCACAGCTACATGGTGCGGACCTTGCAAACTCATGGACCCAGTTATTCAAGAGTTTACTGCAAAATACACAGATGTTGAGTTCATCAAGATTGATGTGGAAGAGTTAATGGTATGTCACTTTTTCCCCTTCACTTTAACTAATTTACTCGTTATTGTAAAAGCAACACTCATATATATAAATGCTATTGTTTTTGAGTGACAAATGATTTCCACCAACTGAGAACTGATTTGTATTGACGGTATAAATGGCAACAGGAAGTGTCTGAAGCATTCCAGGTGCAGGCATTGCCAACTTTCATACTCATTAAGAAAGGCAAAGTCGCTGATAAAGTGACGGGGGTAAGAAAAGATGAGCTACAAAGGATGATTGAAAAACACAGAAAATAAATGTGTGATCATGCACAGTAATAAAATCTGAAAGGCTTCGCAGCACATTCTACCTTGACCATTACAAAGGAACAAGAAAATACCAAAAACTCACAAGGCAATAAGTTGGTGTCATCATTTTCACCACAAACAAGAGAAAAATAGGTGTCATTCTTTACCATTACAAGTTCGATATGTAACAAAATGGCATTGACCAACAACTATCAATATTACTGGATTCTTTAGTGTTATTTGACTCTGCTCATCAAAATCTTCAACAACTCGACAATATTATTATTGGCCAATCAACATAGTTCTCTTTTACAAGAAAAAGAAGAAGAGAAAAACAAATCTTGAAATTGTCATGCGGTTCCCGATGGCGGTCCTTGGCAGGGACCACGATTAATGGGTTAAGCTAGGCTAATCATACTAAGTTGGTCCGACACCACATCAAAATTCAAAACCTTAAGACATTGGTTTATGGGTCCTTCCGACTTCACTTAGCCCATTATCAACCAATGTGAGACTCATCACACTTGAATAGCTGATGAAAAGGTTTTATAAACCGGAAGACAAAAACTAAAAGAGAGATGACCGGACCAAAACATTGGACTTTGATAAACGACAGATTCTAACTATAATAACCCTCCTATGTAGTTGTGGATTTAATATTGAAGAATAATTATAAAGAAAGTAGAAGAAAAAGAAATAAAGTCACGTCTGGTGAAGAAAGAGTTAAAATGATAGTTAAGAGGTAAAAATACGGATAAATAAAGTTACCCAAAAAGTAAAAGTAAAGTTAGAAAGATGACTAGAAAAATATTCTAGTCCATTGAGTAAAATTTAGTAATGAATGGAGATGACTAGATAGATAAATTTTTACTTAGTTGAATTTCACTTTCCTTATGTAAGTTAAAAAGTTTTAAAAAACGTTACTATTCCCTTCTCTTCCATGGATTGAATCCACAGAGGAGAAAAACATGAAAAGAGGGATTTTGATGGAAAATCTTCTAAAATTCGTAGAGAGAGCTAAGGACCTCTAAATCACTCCGTTCCAAAGTTAAACTTGTAAAAAATTTCGAGAGGAATCCATTGGTACCAATATTCTTGGATGGGATTCACTGTAAAGAGAGTTCTTCCTCCTCTAAGATTTCGAATTTCATGGAAAATAAGGGTTTTGATGGAGCTTGAGGCCATAGAAACTTGAAGTAAGCTTCTCGCTTCATTCTAAGTAAGTTTATATTAAGAAATCCTAGTTTTCTTTGAGTTTTAAGGAAGATTGAATTTAGATTTTCATTTTAAAAGTTTAGCTTGATTGAGCACGTTAGAGCTTGATTGAGCACGTTAGAGCTTGATTGAGACTGAAAAATGTTTAGATAGAGATTTTAACAGTGAAAATATATTTGAAAAATTTAAGATACCGTATTTTTGAATATTGTCGTATATGTGAATAGTGACGTATACGTGAATAGTATTGTAGAGATGAACAATACCGTAAATGTATTCATTGGTTATAGTGTGAGACCAAATGGACTTATGAAGCAAGAGCATGGACTAGAGCAAGATATGGACATTGAGCAAGGCTCTTGTTTATTTGAGATTGAGGTAAGTATCAAACAAAGGTTTGATATGAAACTTATATGAAATGGATATATGTTTAATTGTGATAACTTCACAATGGATAGGTGTGTTGGTCAATTGTTGAGTATTTTGTTGGCTTGTGGACTTTTCACTTGGAAGAGGCTAGAAAAAAGAGCTATTCCAGGTAAGCTTTCGGTCCTTGGGATTAATCCCCCGTTTGTTTCACTAAACTGCGAGGGAGGGTGATAGTTTGATATGGTATGTTGAAAATAATTTGTTATATGTTGCATGTATATGTATGTATGTTTGTGTGCCACACAAGACAGTGTTTCCTTGTGTGAGGCATAAGAAAGTGTTTCCTTATGCATAGTATGAGACGATGTTTCCTCATACAATATGTTGCAAGACGGTGTTTCTGTAACATCCCAAGCACTGGCGAGGGCGGGCAGTGATTGCCGGTGCAAAGAGGCACGGACAAGGAGCGGCTTCTGACAGGCTTCCAGTGGGGGGTTACATGCATGAATGAATCGAAACGACACCCAAAAGAGAGGGATTCCAAAGACTTTGCAGGTATGAGACTGCACAATTTGGGATAGCTTATAAGAATTAATTGGTACTACCTATACTAACAAGTTACATCTTCTTTTCGGTAGTCCGGAATGGAAGAACTTCATAGTTAAGCGTGCTTGACTTGGAGCAATTCTGGGATGGGTGACCTCCTGAGAAGTTTTCCCAGGAAGTGTGCGAGTGAGAAAAAAGCACACTGAAAAGTCTCGTGTTAGTATCCAGTATGATTATATTATTGCACACTGCATTGTCATACATATTCTGATGCATCCATGGATTTTTATATTTTGTTTATACCAGAAGTGAGCTTAGGGGTAGAGGAGCCATCCAAGGGTCCCTAGCTTACTGAGGTAATTATATTATCTCATCCTGCATATGGGGATTAACATTTCAGTTACAGGAGCTGATGGTGCTGAGGCATAGCGTGACAAGAAGCCAGACGAGAGATATTACCTGACCTGATAGTTAGGTTTAGCTTGTTATGCTGATACGTATTTGGTATGGTTTTATTTTGGATATTATCTATATGTCATGCCATTATTTTGAGAGCATAGGAGATGTTTATGTCATGTTGATAGTTTACCTATTTCGTTAGTTACGTCTGTATATGTCTAGGTTACTTATCTGATTATATCTCTTTTGGTTGGTTGATGTAATCATGTAAGTAACTCTATGGATATTATTTTGAGACCTGTTATGTAAGGGATAACCTATGCCATGGATGGCTGGGTAATATGGTTTATGTCTAGATTATAGTAAAGTGTCAATCAGGTTAAGATTATCATGATGAGATTTATCCCCAGTGGTCCAAAATACATAGGAAATGCTGTCCGTTTTATTTTGGCCATGGAAGTGAAAATGTTTGCAATACATAAGGAAAAAGAGAAAATTTATTCAGTTAGCTTCCGCGTTAATTAAGTTGAGCATGTTGCGCTTACTATCATATGAATGTTAATTAACCGGCGGCAGACGGGGCGTTATACTGACTTAAGGGGAAATATCTCGAGATTAATCAATTTCAAGACAAACACATCACAATACACAAGACACCTCTATTTAACAGAAACCATTCAATGCACTGATAATCACCGTTTCATTTCTTTTTTTCTTTTTCCATTCTTCAAGAACAGCAGAGTAAAAATGTATACTACAGATAAACGCTTGTCTCCAAAGCTACATCATGCTGCAGATAAGGTAGCAACTAAGCTTGGTTTATCTGTATTATGTACAAATTTCACATCCAATAGTGAAATCACATGTTATATAGTTATTGATGTTGTAGTGTAATCTTTCATGTTAAAGAGGATTAATGGAGAGCTACAGCCATTAGACTAAAAATAATTGTTTAGTTATCAGCATCACTCAGAATACTTCTTAGATCATACTTCTGTTGCGTAGTCAGCCTTGTTGGAAATATAACATCAAACTTGATTCTGAGGTTTCCTTTCCTGCTAGGTTCCTTTGGAATTGGCATACCTTCATTTGGGATCACCAGCTGATAACCTGGTTTCACAATATCAGTCACTTGGATTGTGAGATCTCTTCCATCCAACGTTGGTATGTGGAGAGTCTTTCCTATGAGAGCATCTAGAAGTGATATCTTGTGGATCACTACCAAGTCATTCCCTTCCCTCTTGAAAAAAGCATGTGGTTTCTCCTCCAACACAAAAATTAGATCACCTGGAGCAGCTCCTGGTTTTTGGTTGCCTCTCCCAGAAAAAATGATTTCTGTGCCATTCCTCCAACCAGGTTCAATATTAATCAGCAAGATTTCTTCTACGGATTTTAACCTTCTGCCAAAACAAAAAAGAGGATTCCTAGTGAAACCAAAAACTTATATTTCCAATTAAATTGAAATGAAGAGGGAAAAGAGTGGACATATTGTGCTCCTAAATTTATGTTGATACAAATCTGGTTTAATTGCAAAGTTCAACAGTAAATAAATCTAATATTGAAACAAAACACTAAAAACATTATATACAAAACATAATTTTTTTCAAATTTTTCTCTCAATATTTTCATTTGGGTTCATATATTACCAACCCAACTATTTTGGGATAAAGATATTGTTGACGTTGATATCAATATATCAACATCCATCAAGGATGGCCTAAGCAAACCCCTAAAACAATTAAATTACACCTTCCTTTCTTCACATGTGGGTACAGAAAACAGATAAATGTATATGCATTCGTGCCTGCACAAATGTGCATGATCAAGCCAAATAATTGAAGGCCAAAAAAGAAAACAGCCAAAACAACAGAGTATGAGAGTTAAGAATTACCCAAATACATCAGGAACCATTCTTAAGATTTTAAGCTTCACTCTACAACCTTTGTAAAGGTCCTCAAGGGTACACTGCAATCTGCTCTCAACCACCCCTGCTTCATCTTCCTTCAGATTCCCAGCATCCCCATCACCATTTTCTTTGATGGAGCTATGAGAGTTAAGGCGATAGTGACGGTAGAAATCATAGACCTTTCGCTTCTTGGGATCACTAAGCACTTCATAGGCCTCTTTAATCTGCTTGAACTTGGTCTCAAACTCTTCTTTCCTAATTGGGTGTTGAGGGTTCTTATCCGGATGCCATTTAATGACCAAACTTTTATAAGCCTTTTTCAACTCTTCATCCGTGGCATCAAAGTTCACCTTAAGTATCTCGTAATAATCCTTAGAACCCATGTCAACAAAATACAAGTGAATTCAGCGTGAAAATTAGGTGAAAAAACTTTCTCTACTTTTGGTGTGACTCTCTGTGAGTGGCTGCAAAAAGGTAGGAGAGGGTGCTGAGTCCAACAACACTGAATCTAGTAATAGTATTAACCAGTTGCGAAGGGAGAGAGAAATCAATGCAAAATCACAAAAGAAACAGAAATCACTCTGTGGAAAAGATTGTAAAATAACAAGGAACAAGAACAACTTTAAAATAAATCTTTATATTGAATTGATTTAAAAGAATGAAATACTAATGATTTAGTCCATACTTAACATAAATCCTAATAAAATAAGAAATAAGATCTTTACAAATAAAAAAGATATCATAAAGATATTCTTTTCAACAGAGATTTATGAGGAGATGAATCTTGAAACAAAGTGATGACAAAGAATCAAGCTTGATGAGGAGAATAGAGATATAGATATTTTTATTTTGGCATTTTAATATTTTGAATTACATTATTTACCGTTGTGCTACAACAGCTTGCCAAAAAAATGGACAACCAAGGTCCAATAGATGGATAATTGCCGCCACATATTTGTGGGAATAAGTCAAAAATTAATAATTTTTTTGGAAAATTCTTCTTTTAAAAAAAAGTAAAATCTTTGATGGAAGATTTAAATTGTGAGATAGCAATATTAATTCAGATATTATGCTGAAATACATTCATCTAAGTAATTATTCTAGATTTGCATCTAAAATTTCCCTTACAAATTTAGTGAATGACTGATTTTTATTTTTTATTTTTAGTATTTTAGGATTTAGCAGGAAGCTTCTTTGAAATATATATATAGTATAGCATTCCAATATGTTGAATGATTAAAGTACATAATGATTATAATCTCAAATTACTGGAGATGTTGCTTATCGTACAAAATAGATATTTCCTAATTTTAAAGAGAAAGTGGAATAGAGTCGAGGGTAGGCACTAGCAATCTCTATAACAATTATATTGACATGGCACATGGGACATGGAACATGACACGACACGATATTTTAATATGTTAATTCTAAAAAATACTAGATTTTGACACGTTAGGACACGTTTTGATATTAAATAATATTTTTAATTTATGTAGTATATATTATGTTTAATATTTAATAATTTAACAAAAAAAATAAGCTAAACTTATAATAGTCATCAATTTTATAAAAAAATATAAGATATCTCAAATATTTATATTAAACTCAATAAAATGGTAATCGTAATCCAACGAATCTAATAGTTGGAATTAAAAATACAAACCTTTTTTTGAGTCTTTACAACTCGTGTTAGAATGTGAGAGTGTCGGAGAATATCAAAAAATGTCGGACATGACACATCAAATTTTTTGAAGTATCGTTGAGATGCAATTGCTATTTACAGGGCTGAGAAGAAAGATTTGAACAGAAACAACAAACAAATACGTATTTAAAAAAATTTCCGCTTTTAAAGAGATTCCTTCCAAAATACTCTGAACACATAATATCGTCCGCGGTCTTAGAAATAGGGGTAGAAATATTATGCACGATTTGGTTTCCTTTAGGGGGTGTTTGGTACCCGGATAATATTTGATATCCTTGGAAAGTAAATTTGGAAAAGTTTAATGCTACGTTTGGTACCCAGAAAAAGGGAAGTTTCCCTGGTAACAATATTTCCGGTTGTTTGATGTTGTGTGTAAAATTACGTACGGCAACCAACGCTGGAAGTCCATCGATTAGGTAGAATACTTTTTTGTCCGGAAACGTGAAAAAGGAACCACCAATATTGGACCAAAATAACCTTGTGTGATAAGAAGGTTGTAGCTTGCAGAGGTTACCTTTCTTCATCCTCTTCACCTTCCTCTGCTAAAATTGTCTCTGGCCAAATTACTAAGAGTAGGAATAGCTGGATATAACGAAAAGCTTAAACTCGTGACAGCCACAAATGTAAAAGTGTTCCTTTGCATTGAGTTTCAACAGCACCAATAAGCTTGTTCGTGGGTTTCCTATACATGATGTGTATGAGCTTCCTCCAATGAACTACATAATTGGTTGCACCGTAATGTTCCATTTTTTTGCTGATCTCAATGTTAGACCATAAGTTATTTTCTTAAGGCCAACGTACCTGTATGCACCAATATTTGAATCAAAAGCTAAATGTGGGGTTATTTTGGTAAAATAACCTCATATTCCCACTAATATTTCATAATCAACCAAACACACACTCAGTAAAATTATTCAAATGTTCCCAGGAAAATATGGGTCTACCAAACAACTTTTTATTAATATTTCAGTAAAATATATTTCCTGCTACATTCCGGTGATAATTGTTTCCCGGATAAAAAAAAATTTCTCCTGTACCAAACGCCCCCTTAATTTTTTTATACCGAATCCAAAAAGTAGTTTGGTTCGGATAAATTGAATTGGTTTTTAAATCAATTTGGAAAAGATATTGATTTAGAAATCAGTTTGGAATTTGGTTCGTCATTCGGATTAATTTGATTTTTTACACTTTTAAGGATCTATGGGTATGATTCGGTTGGATTTTATCTCAATCCGAACCGAATTAATAAATTGAACTAAACCGATTTTAAAAATATTTTGATTCATAAACTGATTGAAAAAAAAATATGATTCTTTTAATGCAGCACATATCTAGAAGTGTAAATGGGTCAGGCTGGACCAGGCTTTGATCTATTTGATATAAGCTTATGTAAAAAAAAATTCAGCATATATGGCCTATTGGCCTACTAAAGACTTTATTTATAGGTCAAGCCTGGTCTATTTTAAAAAATTAGAGAGCCTTATATGGCCTACAGGCCTTGTAGGCCTCCCTAGTGATATATTTTTAAAAAAATTTAAAATTATTTTTAATTTTTTAAAATATTCGCTTGACATTACAAGTCATTAACGCGTTTTTAAATTGCTGCATTTTTTACACGAGATATAAATTTCACTAGTGAGCATTAAAGTTTTTACAATAGTAAACAAAATAACTATTAAAATATAATGAGCAAAGTTCCATTCATGCATGCGCTAGTACTTCTCATAATTCATAAAAAAATGACAAACAAGAAAGAGTCAACATAATACCTAAGCTCTATAATGTATATCAGAGAGGAATAGAGTCAAAGAAATAGAGAAAATAAGAAAAGTACAATTACTAGGTCAACCAAAGCTGAAATAAAGTCTACAAGAGAATGTCACCTAAAATAAATATATTATTTTATTTTATTTTAAAAAATTAAATAAGCCAGCCTACAATGCTTTAGGTTAGACTTGACAAAATTAGTCTATGGCCTACTTGTTAAAAAGGCTTTCTTATAAGCCTAAGTCTACCTTAATTTTTACCGTAGGCCGGGCTGTAAGCTGGGTCAGGCCAGCCTGGCCCATTTACACCCTTACTCATATCAATTCACAATTTGGTTTGAAAATTGTTTTTTTTGTACCCGTATCTCTAGATGAGGATCTTACCCTTACGTTTTATCTCTAAGTGAGAAGATAAGTTTTAATTATACAATTTATATAAGATTTGATTGAATAAGAGATTATAAAATTTAAATTTTATGTAATTTAATATGATATCAAATAAAATATATTATTATGAAAAGTAGTATAATTTAATATTTAAGAATGTGATTTATGAAAAGAACTAAGGGGGTATTTTTAAAAGTTATTTTTCAAAATAATACCAAAAATGATTCACATTGGGATAATATTGAACATGTGTAAAACGTTAGATAATGTGTCACTTTATATGAACTAGTTGATTACCCGTGCGATGCACGGAGAAAAAAAAATCGGTTTGTTTGTCCTGTAAACGAATTAATAAGAAAATCAGTTTGTTCGTATGACATAAACGTGTAACTTTTAAGGTAGGAACAAAAAAAAGAATATAATAATTTAAACACAGTAAATTCCATGGTACCATGAACAACAAAGAAACTTCTGTAACAGAAAATAAACATACGAACCATGAACAAGCCGAAGGATAGCGTTTCACACTTACCAGTAAAGGGAGACAACACACGACAGCCTGAGGTCGAAGAATCACTCAGAATATTTTTTTAACGGTCCGTCCTTCTTCTCTTATTTTGGGGAGTTTGGAAATCTGATTGATGTTTATTCATGACAGCGCCCAACTTGCTTGGAAGAACTTTTGATTAAGAGAAAAGAGAAGATAAATTAAGAACTTTTTAAACTCTCCTTTATATGTATATAGATGTGCTTCAACGGAAAAGCGAAGAGAAAAGAGAGATATTCCCAAAAATACCAAAAAAATAGAAAAGAAAAGCCCGCGAGATCAAAAAAACTCAGTGTGCGGAAATGACAGTGCCGTATTCGAATTGCAGGGTGAAATTAAGATACACAGGACAAACGTCATTAAGATAGAAGTCATTTAAAATTTAAAATTGATGGTCAGAACATGTGCGCTTTCACTTTATAATTTTGGTTAATAAAAATTAAGATTTAAAAAATTACTTATTCGTAAAATTATAAATTTTAATTACTTATTCGGTAATTTAATTAAATATATGTTTTGCTTTTTGAGGGAGTAGAAGTCATTTCATCAATGCGTCAGCAATTTCTAGTCATGAAAGACAAATGTCATTATCTGTTTCCACGTTTAAAAACAAAATAACTATATAATAAAAAAATGTAGGTATTGCGAGCTTCAGATGCTTCCTGGTTCTTCTTGCGCGTAAAGATTAAAATTCAATTTTTAAAAGAAATTTTTTTCCCACCATCCATATTTAAATTTAAAATTTTAAACCATTTCAAATTTTAAATTTCAGATCAGACGACCAATTCCAACATAAAAAGCAATTAAAACACTTGATTATGCAATTAAAATTTCGAATTTCAAAACCATATTTATTCATTAATTATTCTTTTATGTCTACAACCACAAATGGTCATTTAATTATTCGATTTAAATTTTAAAATTCAATTTTTAAAAGAAATTCTTTTCCCACCATCCATATTTAAATTCAAAATTTCAAAC